CGAACCGCTCCAAGAGCAAAGAGCAACAATGTAACATTTGTAATCTCTGTTTTGGAAAGACTGAATCGATTCACAGGTGTGAAAGCACCCTTAATTAAAAAGAGCATGTAAAAAAATCACTAAAAATGTAATCACTTACACAAGGTGTTTCTAATGCACCACCTATGGCCAAACAGTAAATCTGACATTATTCTCTCTTCTTGTCAGACTCACACATTATATATATATATATATATATATATATATATATATATATATATATATATATATATATATATATATATATATATATATATATATATATATATATGTATATATACATACATACACTCACTCACACAATTTAGCCTATACCCAATTCACTTGTACCACATGTCTTTGGACTGTGGGGGAAACAGGAGCACCCGGAGGAAACCCACTCGAACGCAGGGAGAACATGAAAACTTTTTCTCATTTATTAATTCTTTTGAATTGCATTATGGGACTTTGATCTTTCTTCCAACTACTTTTAATGTTGAAAAGTTGAACAATTTGACATCTATTAGCATTTTAATAATTTAAAGTGATATATTGTAAAATATTGTAAACTGTAAACTAAACTGCCAGTACATTTTCTGTTATTTGACTTATTTCTCTACTGTATACATTATGTATATATTATTTCTTACACACTATATTATTTAAAATAACTAAAATGTAAAAAAAAGTCACTTTAATAAACTGTATTTGAGTAGAATTTTCAACATCAAAAGTCAACAAAGCAGAGATCAACATCCTATAATGCAATTCACAAAGTAATAAATAGCTAAGTAAATAAATTAACAGAAAATGTTTGGAATCACAAATTACAGAAACTGGTAATTTACAGATACTTTTTAACAGTGTTGTTTGCAAGGATCGGTACACTTCTCAAACTGCTTTGACTAATGTAACCCTGAAAAATCTTCACTTTATTTTTCCCAATGTTACAATTATTGCTGTTCTGCTATCTTAATTACAGTGTCTTTGCTACAAAATATAGTTTTAATAAGTGCCTTTTTTCAGCATGACAGAGGCATTTCCTCAAAATTTTAAGATTTTTACTTATTTTTTTATTATTTAAATTATTATTTCTAAGTTATTTCTGAAAAAAAATATTTACAAAAAGAAATAAAATTTTAAATTCTTAAAGTATTCATTCATTCATTCATTCATTCATTCATTCATTCATTTTCTTGTTGGCTTAGTCCCTTTATTAATTCGGGGTCGCCACAGCGGAATGAATCGCCAACTTATCCAGAAAGTTTTTACGCAGCGGATGCCCTTCCAGCCGCAACCCATCTCTGGGAAACATCCACACACACATTCACACACACACTCAAACACTACAGACAATTTAGCCAACCCAATTCACCTGTACCGCATGTCTTTGGACTGTGGGGGAAACCGGAGCACTCGGAGGAAACCCACGCGAAGGCAGGGAGAACATGCAAAACTCCACACAGAAACGCCAACTGAGCCGAGGTTCGCACCAGCGACCCAGCGACCTTCTTGCTGTGAGGCGACAGCACTACCTACAGCACCACTGCCTCGCCATACTTAAAGTATTTACAATATAATTTCTAATTATCATTTCCATTGTACATTTACATTTCAAAACACTTTCAGTTCCATAAGCTCGCTTGAAAAGCTGTGAAATGACACCAGGCCCTTTGCAGTTCTTCACAGAAGCCACACACATAATCTCACACTGACACCATGTTTATTCAGAATAAAAAATTGCGTCCTAGATCTCTCACCAGATCACTATCTGCAACATGCTTGAATTCTTCATTTCAACATATAGCCATATAAATGCACCCAACAATTACCTGTGATGGAGATGTCGCTGGCATATTGGGATGGATTGCGTGATGATTTTGGTCTACTCTCAGGTGGATCAATGAACGGTCTGGGATTGAAAATGGAAGGATGAGGGCTGGAGGTGCTCGAGTGTATTATAGCACTGCCCTTTCAGGACTGGGCCTCTGGCTCATTTTTTTTTTTAAAGTGAACTCTTTTTAACACGCCTCAGCAAATAGATTTAATTGATTTTCCCCCAGCGCCATGATTATATGGGCTTAGTAAATATTTTGCATCCAGTCCAAAATGTGATGCAATGTGCTTGTTGCAGCCGGTTTTCAAATGTCAGCTAAAGCAAATGAACAAAGCTTGGTTGAAATAAAAGCTACCACAACCGTAGGGTGTAGATCACATAAAGATCACATTTTAATTTTGTAGTTGCTTCTCCTAATGTATACAATTGTTTCCTTTAGCAGTGTAGGCCATAGAAAAGAAACGAAAAAGTGAATAAACGAAGGCTAATTTCTAATGAGCTAACACATGAACTAGACAAAAGGAAATTAAAAGCACAACCCATGATTTCTGCTTAAATATAGGCCAGTTTTATTTAAGAAATCCATACCTGTGTCTGGGATCAAATCAATGAAATGTGTTTAAATGGATTGGTATGGAAAAGCTGCATTATAATTGGGCTCAGAGCCAAGACAACTGCAGTGTTTTTCCATGTGGGTCTGTGGATGTTGATATCCTGCGTAATTGGGTAACAGACCATGATGAAAGCGGCTGACTGAGTTTCTGAGTTATTTCACTTTGAATTTGGTTCAGAACATCACTCAGTTTATCATTCCCCGTATATATAGATCAAAACCAATGAGACATGAGTTGACATTAGTTGAAGAGAAATGCTGTGCATAGGACGATCCTAAAAGCTTTATAATATCAACTAATGGATAGCAGGTAATAAATAAGAAGTATTATGATTCATTTTCTTTTATCTTTCCAACATATTCTTTTATTTATGTTATACATGATTATTATTCTGTATTATTTGGTCAAATGTCACATCATTTGTCATCAGATTTATGCAAAAGTTTGGCCACCCCTAATAATTTTCATATGGATATATTTTATACCCTAGGGAAAAACAACATTTTACTTATGACAACAATTATTTAATCAGCAGATGCAATGCAAGTCTTGACAAAAACAGATAAGTGCAAAAAAATCTGGGCACCCCAACAGAATAATATCACCTTTTGCTGAAATAACAGCCTGTAGAAGCTTCTTATAGCCAAGAATACTTTCCTAAATTTTTGCTGAAAAAATTTTGGCCCATTCTTAATTGCAAAAGTTCTCCAGTTCAGTCAGATTTTATGGGTGCCAAGCGAGAACTTCCCTTTTCAAACCAATTCATAGATTTTCATTGAGGTTTAAGTCTGGGGACAGGGATGTGCCATTTAAGAACATCATATTATGTCTGAGCTTGAATTCCTTAATAGATCTGTAACTGTGTCCTGCTGAAACTTCCAAACCTGCCTCTTAACCCCTTCAGATGTTCCAAATTTCAGAAAAATGGGATGTCCTTTGATGTCCATTTTAATGGACGCAGGGTCTGAAGGGGTTAACAGATTTTCTGAACATTGATCTTCAGATTCAGCTGATACTTGGTGGAATCCATGGGACCTTCAACACTGACAAGGTTTCCAGTGCCTGTGCCTGCCACAGCATGATGGACCCTCCACCACATTTTACAGTAGGGAGCAGGTTCTTCTCTTGGAAAGCTGCTTTCTTTTGCTGATATAGTTATGGCATTTGTCCACAGTATATTTTTACAAAATGATTCAGGCTTGTCCAAATGAGCCTTTGTATATCTTAAAATGACTCTTTTTGTTGGCAGAATCCAGAAAAGGCTTCTTCTGCATCACCTTACATTAAGCTGTTCTTTGTGAAGAATGTGCTGGAATGTGGAACCATGTGCAATGACATTATCAGCAACAAGATGTTCCTGGAGCTCTTTGAGGGTGGTCTGTTGTTTGCCTTTGACCATCCTAACCATTCTTTGCCTTTCAGATACTTTTCTTGGTCTAGCACATCTTTTCTTTTTAAGAATTGTTCCTGTGGCCTTCCATTTTCTTACTATATTTCTGACTGCAAAGATAGATACTTTAACCCTTTGTGATATATTTTTGCATCCTTCTCCTAATTCATGTTGGTGAATTATCCTAGTTTTAGGTCTGAGAAAGTTCTTTTGAGGTTGCCATGTTGCTAATTTCTGGTGCAAAATAAAGAGAAGCACAACTAGCAATATCAAATGAGCTTTTTCATGGTTGCACCAGTGTTGGGATTGTTAAGGTTTACTGAGTCAGTCAAATCAATTTTGTGTTGTCATCAATCAGCATTAAGTGACTACAGGTTTTAAAATCCACACAAAAGAGAAGGTGCCCAAACTTTTGCTAAGCCTATTTTTCAGTTTCAATTTAATTTCACACATCTCAATACTGCTACACTGTGTATTTCTGTTTGAAAAACATGACATTATCTAGCCTGCTCTAGAAACCGGCTGAAAATGGCATTTCACTGTCTTCTTCTCTTATAAAGAAAGAGCACATAATTATGCAGCCACAGAGAGGTGCCCAAATGTTTGCATTAAACTGTAGGTAAGAATTGTGAAGATGCTTGAAATGCTTTATATATGTTAGTAATGTATTGCACATTAGAAATAAATGCAATCTTTTGTTTCATTTATTTACATATGAGCAGCTCAGGGTCCAGTGTCCAAATGTTGCTCCCTCAAAAATCACATCTGAGATAGGCAATAACATCACTTTTACTTACTTTTTTGTAGTTCTTGCTGAAGAATTAAAAGCATTCAACAAAATATATCTTTGTGGAATTAATGGATTTACCACACTCAAGATTTGACGAAATGTTCTTCCCTTCTTGAGATCCAAATATTCCCCCTGCCACAGTTCACTTGATTTAACTGTCCATAAACTATCTCTATGTCAGATAAGAAATCTCTACTGCTTCACTTCTACTTATGAATAACCGTTTTTCCACACATTTGGCCCCAAGCGTGCTTCTGACAAAGACACATTCCACGTGGAGTTTCAACTGACTAACTTTTCCACATTTTAATGCCAGTTTGTTCAAAGATTCACAGTCTCAAAGGAACAGCATTAGGCTTTAAATGAACCAGCATCTTTTATTAGTGCCATATGATGAACCAAAGAATGTTCCATAATGAGATTCCCAGCCTACCTTAAAAACATCAAGAGACCTTGAGCAGGACCCCTTAAATGCCTCTCCGGCCGCAGTCCCTCATATTCAAAATCACAGCCACCGGGACTCCTCATAAACATACCATAATATACATAAAGACACAGCACTGGGCAGGAAACAAAGCTGTGGAGATGCCAGAACTAAGATGAATGAGTCTCAAATCAGCATCTGAAGATTGGTTAGTTGAAGTAGCTTATGTCCCAATAGCACAGTCTATATTTTGAGGGCCTCGGGAAGAGTATTGTTTACTCCCACCCAAAGGCTTTACCATTTCATGATTGATCAGAAGTAGCCTATGTCTTCTTTTCAGTCAAGTTGAACAGAATGATATTAAATCCGTTTTCCTCAAGGGTTTCTCCAAATGGTTGAACTGATGCATGAGGAACTATAAAAGAAAGAAGAAAAAGCTTCATTTCACTCCTCTCCACATTTCATCAGGAATTGATTTTGGAGTGCTAGAAGGTAATTTGGGCTTTAGAAACTTGTTAGATTTAGTCTTTTGAATTCGATTCGAAAAAATATGATTTTACAATGAAATTCTGAATAAACAGCACAGTTTCATATTGACTCTGTGGCGACATTATTTACATATGTACAGGTACATTTTCCACTGGCCTTTGTGTTTGACTAACCACATTCATTTCTACAAAAGTGCCTTGCGAATTCAGATTCTGTAGGTTTTACTGGTGGCTCCACAGAAACAGAGATAACACGATGACTTCAATGTCAGAAAAAATGAGGCCAGTATGGCCAGTTTCTCCAGCTCTGGAGCTGAATATGTTCCATTTGGTCCACAACCATGGTCCTGTCAGAAGAGATGTCCCAAAAGTCTTTAGTCTGTTTACTGATCACAGCTGAGCAAGAGGCTAAGAAACAAACAAATCCAGACAAGTAGTGATGTCACGGCAAGTGCTTGAGCAGAGTTCTGCTGTGTGTCGAAGGACGGGGTGGAGTCAGACCAAAGTCTCACCTTCACAGAGTCCTGAAGAACAAGACAAGAAAGCATTTTTAATAATGGCAATTTGGTTTCCTAGACCACATGTGGATTCTTATACAGAAAATTTTTATGATTTTAGGCAAGTTTAGTGATTTTGACAACAATTTGAAGGTCTTGCCCAATCTATAAATTGTTTGCCAATAAATAGGCATTTATTAACTACTTTACCCAGCTGGACCATGAAAACCCCATCCACACAGAACTCCATCCAGGACTCCACTGGGTTAGTTCCCACATAGCAAAATTGCTCTGGCCCCGCTCTAGCCCACACAATCAGGTTTTGCCTGGCTCACATGCCGCATTGAATTACGGTTCATGACTGGACCAAGTTTGGCTTCCAGACAAAGGCCAAACATGGACCATATCTCAACCAAGTCTCAGCCACGTTAATAACACATAACTGGGCCTGAACTAGACCAGATTGGTATGTGCGTCACAATTGCAATGAAATTGATAAACCAGGCAGACTTTTTCTCAAAGCAACCTAATTTGTAGAATTTAATTTCTTTACTACTAGACAGGACAAACTTACGTGGCCTACATCTCAATTTGTAACATCTGGCCCAAATACTACATTTTACATCTGGCCCAAGTCTTGTGTGCCACCTTAAAGATGGTGCCAGCTCTGCCAAACACAGGCCATGTTTGGTCCACATGCTGTATAGCATTGCCAGATGAATGCCTGCTGTGCCAACTTTATGCCAAATTTGGGCCAGAATTCTTTGCTACCTAGGTTAGCATTCCATTTTGAGGATCTCACCAACATGCCCTACAGTATTTGAAGGGTTTACCATGCAGAGCAGGAGAGGACCTGACAAACTGTTCCTTAGATCACACTTATTTGTCAAATTTTTACTTTCATCACAAATTTAAGAATCACAGGAGCAAAAGTATACTTTATATTACTACTCTTCAATCCTTCATTATGAAATGTACTTTGAAGTAGCCACTTTTGAGCTCTTCAGTTCAGAACAACCCTACAAATAAGACGATCATGAAATCTAACTCCAAAGTGCCTTTAGAAGGTGGACTGATCATATTTGGAACACAGCAAGAATAAAGTAGGCAGTTAAATAATGGACACACAATGAAACTGCAACCTTAAAAATTTGATTAAATTTTTGGAGATTTTTCAACGAAATATTCAGATACATTGTACCTACAGTAGCAAATGTAACTATGTGACTTTTTTTAACTATATGACTTTTTTGTTGTTCAATATAAATTGAACAAAATATTAATAATAATTTTTACACATTGATGTTCCTCAGATCTTCAAAAAGAATCACAAGTTTGAATTCCACAGTTGTTTTGAATTCCTAGAAATTCCAGCACAGACACATGTAGTTAAGTGCATAAATATTGGGATATCGACACAATTCTTAAATTTTAGACTTTATACACCAACACAATGGATTTGAAATTAAACAAGCAAGATGTGCTTAAACTGCAGACTGTCAGCTTATTTTAAGGGTATTTACATCCAAATCAGTTTGTATATGTGCCTCCCACTTGTTAAGGGATCAAAAGTAATGGGACATAATAATAATCATAAATCAAACGTTCACTATTTAACACTTGGTTGCAAATCCTTTGCAGTCAATTACAGCCTGAAGTCTGAAACACATAGACATCACCAGACGCTGGGTTTTATTCCTGGTGATGCTCTGCCAGGCCTCTGCTCCAACTGTGTTCAGTTCCTGCTTGTTCTTGGGGCTTTTTTTGGTTTCAGCAAGTGAAATGCATGCTCAATCGAATTCAGATTAGGGGATTGACCTGGCCATTCACATCATCAATAAATACAAGAAAACCGGTTTCATTGGCAGCCATACATGCCCACGCCATGACACTACCACCACCATGTTTCACTGCTTAGGATCATAAACAGTTCCTTTCATCCTCCATACTATTCTCTTCCCATTACTCTGGTACACGTTGATGTTGGTCTCATCTGTCTATAGGATGTTGTCCTCGAATTGTAAAGTCATTTCTTAGAGCCTGTTTTTGAGGATCTTGTGGTGAGCCTTCTGTATTCACTCTGGTAAAAATTTTCTCATGGTTGTTGACTTTGGCACACATACACCTACCTCCTGGAAAGTGTTTTTGATCTGGTCAACTGTTGTAAAGGGTTTTTTCTTCACCAAGGAAAGAATTCTTTTGGTCACCACAGTTGTTTTGGTGGTCTTCCGGGTATTTTGATGTTGCTGAGCTCACTGGTGTTTTTTTAAAGAATTTTCTAAACAGTTGTTTTGGCTACACCTAATGTTTTTTGCCATCTCTCTGATGGTTTTGTTTTGTTTTTCAGCCTAATGATGGCTTGCTTGACTGACAGCGACAACTCTTAGGATCACATCTTGAGTGATGACAGCAACAGATTCCAAATGGAAATAGCACACTTGAAATTAACTCTGAACCTTATATCTGCTCATTGTAATTGGGCTAATGAGGGAATTACACACACCTGGCCATGGAAAAGCTTAGATGCCAACTGTCCCATTACTTTTGGTCCCTTAACAAGTGGGAGGCACATATGCAAACTGTTGTAATTCCTACACCATACATCTGTATTGGATGTAAATACCCTCAAAATAAAGCTGACAGTCTGCAGTTAAAGCACATCTTTATTTCAGACTTTATTTATTTTAGATCCATTGTGTTGGTGTATAGAGCACAAAAATGGTGTCAATGTCCTAATATTTATGGACCTGAATGTATGTTCCTATTCAGCCAAGGTCACCTCCAGATCATTTTTTAAAAAGTGAATTAAAACCATTTCTGTGCACACTATAAGGCGAAAAAACATAAAATGGTTACCTTTTAGATGAAAACATTGTGCTAAAACAGTGGACCCTAAGCTGCTCATGTGTAAAAGAACACTGTGCCATATTCACACTGAAACATGCAAGAAATACTGTATATTTACGTGAAAAAAAAAATCACAGCCTCTGCAATTTGATGAGTGCACTAAACTGCCCTTGCAATTTAAGTTATTTTTTATTTCAATGGATCATGCAGTCCTAGTTCTCCAGTCCCCATTTTCCATTTCATAAGGGCTTTGAGCTGTAGAGAAATCAGTCCAATTTTGCAGTCTCTCAGCAGCACAGATGAAATGGTTGTTTATTGTGTGAAGCCAGTTTCCTTTGGAGCCACACTACAATCAAGGCTGTTCTAAAGGCATAACCAAACTGACACTCACCTGTGTGGGTTTAGCTGGGCTCAGAGTGCTCTGTTCAGTCTCCAGCGTGACAAACACAGACGTCGTCCTCCATGGCCCCCTGTCTGTGGCAGGGTTTAACCGCAGCAGTTGGGTGGGAGTGGGTGTGAAGTCCAATCCGTTTCCAAACGTCAGGAGAGCGTTCTCTAATATTCCAACACACAATACATGCACAGCTCTGAGTGAAACAGACATAATTTTCATTTGCAATTGCTTCTGTTATCAGACACTTATTTGAATTCTGGGCCATTTTTCGAGCGCTCAATATTCCGCTCAGGCCACGCGGCTGCACCTGCCTCTCCACATCCTCTCATTAACTCACAGATGAGTGGCTTGACCAAACATCACTCTCATCCGCTCGAATCGCTCACTCCGAGAGCTGCCACTTGGCTGTCTGAGGAGTTACTTCATGTAAGAGATCTCTGTTTGAACAGGACTGAGCAGAATATTGCAACCGTATTGATGAATCGCTATATATAATACATAAGGACCTTCAGAAACGTGAGAACGGCACTGGAGAAGTGTGATGAAGAGGGGGCTGGATATTAATCAGAAATTCATTTATACTTGCACTGCCTGAAATAAGTTGGAAGAAGCTTTGCACTTTAGATAAATCTTCACATTTTAATCACACAAACGTGGCTGACTCAATGTCAGATGCAAAACTTTAGCAGATAATCTAAATACAGCTTATCTGTGGATGCACATCAAAGCCAAATCAAGTCATATTTCAAATGGTGGAAATAATAGATAAATATATTTTCCTTTTGCTGAGACTAAATTATATAAATAGTTAATTATTACATTTATAGCATGCAACAAAAACATTGTGTTTTATGGTTAAATAAAAATAGCTAATTATACATGCAGTCAAAAAACAGCAATTTTTGTTTGTTTTGAAGCAATAAGCTTAATTTGAAATATAATAATAATTTTATTTTGACAGATTTTAAAGTGTTTCTTGAGCCAGAAATCAGCTTGTTAGAATGATTATTGCGGTAATGAATTCATTCATATAGATAAGGGATAGTTCATCCAAAAAAATGAAATCTTTCATCTTTTACTCATCCTTTTTCAAAACTCATTTGCGTTTATTTCTTCAAAGAAAGTTATTATGAAGAATACTGGTTGGTGGACCTCATTGGCTTCCATAGTAATTTTCTTACAATGGATGCCATTGGGTACCACCAACCAACATTTTTTAAAACATCTTAATTTTTATTCAGAAAACTCCAAGATTAAAAGATTTACAGTTTTTTTTTTTTATTGTTTTGCCACACATTTCAGAGCCCTGATGTGAATTTACAAAACTCTAGATACTACACAAAACACTAAACAGTCACTTCTTTAAACACAGATTTTCCGGTGTTCAAAACTTTGGATGCTGTGTCAATTTCTTTATAGAAGCCACCAGCACACAAGATGGACATCGTTTCAATAAAAAAATCCTTAACAATCATTAAATACTGTTGTTTAAAATATATGATACAGGTTTGTTTATGGTTTATACATACGTTTAGAAGGAAACAGTATGCAGTGCATCTGGAAAGTGTTTATAGCGCCTCACTTTTTCCATATTTTTTATGTTACAGCCTTATTCCAAAACAGATTAAATTAATGTATTTCCTCAAACATTCTACACACAATCCCCCATAATGACAATGTGAAAAATTGTTTTTTTTTAATTGTTGCAAATTTATGAAATTTAAAAAAAATATGAAAAATCACATGTACACAAGTATTCACAGCATTTGCTCAATACTTTGTTGATACACCTTTGGCAGCAATTACAGCCTCAAGTTTTTATGAATATGATGCCACAAGCTTGGCAAACCTGTCTTTGGGAATTTTTGCCCATTCCTCTTTGCAGTACCTCTCAAGCTCCATCAGGTTGGATGGAAAGTGATGGTGTGCAGCCATTTTTAGATCTCTCCAGAGATGTTTAATATGATTTAGGGCTGGGCTCTGGCTGGATCTCTCAAGGACATTCACTAAGTTGTTGTGAAGCCACTCCATTGATATTTTGGTGGTGTGCTTTGGGTCATTGTCCTGCTGAAAGTCTGAGGTCAAGAGCACTCTGAAGGAGGTTTTCATCCTGGATGACTCTGTACATTGCTTTATTTATCTTTCCCTTTATCCTGACCAGTCTTCCAGGTCCTGCTGCAGAAAAACATCCACACAACATGGTGCTGCCACCACCATGCTTCACTGTAGTTATGGTATTAGCCTGGTGATGAGCTGTGCATGGTTTTCTCCAAACGTAATGCCTGGCATTTACTTCAAAGAGTTCAATTTTAGTCTCATCAGACGAGAGAATTTAGTTTCTTATGGTCTGAGAGTCCTTCAGATGCCTTTTGGCAAATTCCAGGCAAGGAGTGGCTTCTGACTGGCCATCTATCCAGATGGTTGTCCTTCTGTAAGGTTCTCCTCTCTCCACAGAAGATCGCTGGAGCTCAGAAAGAGTGACCATCGGTTTATTGATCACCTCCCTGACTAAGGCCCATCTCCTGGTCACTCAGCTTAGATGGCCGCTACAGTAGATGGCAGCTGTAGGAAGAGTCCTGGTGGTTCCAAACATCTACCACTTATGGATGATGGAGGCCACTGTGCTCATTGGAACTTTCAGAGCAGCAGAAATTTTTCTGTAACCATTCCCAGCCTCTGAGGTCTAGACAATTCCTTTGTCTTCATGCTTGGTTTGTGCTTTGACATGCACTGTCAACACTGGGGCCTTATATAGACAGGTGTATGCCTATTTAAATCCTGTCCAATCAACTGAATTTACCACAGGTGAACTCTAATTAAGCCGCTGAAAGGATGATCAGTGGAAGCAATTTAGAGCTTCACGGCAAAGGCTGTGAAAACTTATGTGAACGTGATTTTTCACATTTTTTTATTTTTAAGAAATTTGCAAGAATTTAAAAAAATCTTTTCACATTGTCATTATGGGGTGTTTTGTGAGGAATTTTGAGGAAATTAATGAATTTAATCCATTTTGAAATAAGGCTGTAACATAAAAAATGTGGAAAAAGTGAAGCTTTATGAATAATTTTTCGGACGCAATATATAATTATAATGGTTGAAAGTATTATGGTAATCTTTGTAATATTTTGACATGTATTGCATTTCTAACATGTGAAATCCATATAAACTACAATGTCACATATGTAATTTGCATTAAAGTATTTCCAAATATCAGATTTCTATTTTGGCATCTGTGTTTCCATCAGTCTGGTTTAGTGGATTTGTCCACAGGTTCTCCTCTACATCACAGTGGGGTTTACGTTAGTCAAGAATCTTCAAAAGAACCTTCTGTCAATGCAAATCCAGGCCTGAAATTGTTCAGCTATGGTTCTGTGATTGGACTTTCTTACATACAGTAATTTCAAATATAAAAACATTGTCTGTGGAAGTGGTACATGGAACATATAAACCATAATAAATGAATAACAATGAAATCTATAGATAGTGTAGTCCAGTTGGCTCATCTTTTGTGGTAACTGTCATTTGATCTATCCTGAAATTTTCATCATCTAAACATGTAAAATTGTACATCAGTTTCCATGCATCCAGAGTAAAGCAACAGTTACTTATTATTTTGAGTGCTTATATCAGTTGACATTTGCATCATGGTATTTATATGAATACATGGTTATTTAATATGTGATGTTTGCCTTGCATTTGGAAATGGGATTGATTTGATTTTTAATTGTATTATATTGAAAAGGTGATTTTAGGTTAATGAACAAAGTATCTTTGACGTGTGTATTGTATCCAAGTATTTGAAAGAAGTGTTGTGAATACGGTTGTGAATATTTTGTCTAGGGATTTGAAAATAGACACCAGGGTTGTGAAATTTATGGCAAAAACGATTAAAGAAAACTGTAAAATCACATAAGGTTCAGTAAATGGTGAGGTCATTTTCATTTTTGGGTAAACTAATCTTGTAGTGTTTGGAAAAAGTAAGTTTGTAACTTTAATATGAAATAAAAAGAGCAATCAAGAGCATTGAGTTTGCAGACAAATAAAAAGCCACACTTATCAAATGCTTTTCAAATAGTGTGTCCTGGTTCTGCTTAAATGGAGAATAAGGACGCAAGTGATAAGAGACAGATGAGGTAATTTTTGAAATGTTCTGTCATTTAAAAGAGCCAGGCTGACTGTTTTCTGTGGAGGTTTTCTGTGCAGTGGTGGTGAACGCTAGGCTGACATACAATATAAGAACGTATGACTAATGGAGCAGAATAGCAAGAGGATGCTTTATGCTATTCTGTGCTCTTGTGAAGGACATACAACTTCAGTGGAAACTTCTACTTTATAAGAATTCTAAAAGAGTACAGGCAGCTCAATGTAATTACATTTATGACTGCATTACCCATTTAGAAACCTGCAGTGGCCTTCATTTGCAGATCTTCATGTGCTGTTTTAATGCATGCTGTGTTTAAAATTCTGAATTCTGCTTAAAAATAATAGATAAGCTGTCGCTCAATGGAATTGAAAAAGAACTCTGATTCTGTCCTGGCCTTGCACTGTTGACTAACAGTAAAACCCTATGGTTCTTTCAGACTGCACATGCAATGTCTTTTCACATTTCAGATGTCCGTGACTCAGAAATGATTGCCAACACAGATGATGTACAGGAGCAGCACTGACTTACGTAAACAGACGTTGTTTGTGAAATAGTCCAGGAAGTCAGAGCACTGATCCTTCAGATTCCCGCTGGCTGAACACGAGCACCAGGGAGACACTTCGGATGTGAAATTGTCCACATAGTTTGGGGTGATTGGACTGCCTGTAATAACAAAAGACCTTTGTGTACATGATATTTGTGATTTCTATTAGCATTTTATACATAAATGAGATAATTATAAAGTAAATCTATAGAAATTACATGATATATGTGTACAAAATGTCACGTTTTGGTTTACTACATTTATTTATCTATTTATCATGATCCCCATTAGCCACTTCCAAGGTAGTGGCTATTCTACCAAGGGTCCATCAAACACAAAACAAAATTACATTCCATAACAACAAAGACCACTACAAAAACATAAAACCCAAAATTCATACTTCCAGATCAACAATCTATTTAATATTGTGCCATTAAATATTTCTTCAACAATTTTTTTTTAAACCTTATTTTACTTGTTACAAAGCATGTAATGTCTGATGGCAATTCATTCCATGTTTTCATTCCATTCATTGCATTTGTTTTTGAAACAGGTAGAAAAAAACTTCTTTTTGACACATGCCTGGTGTAAAATTATGACATTACTATATGTAAGTTGACAGTACAATACACTTGGAACGCTTGGAAAAGAAATATTTCATAGGAACACAACAGAGAAATAATTACCCTATCCTTCAGCAATAACCAACCTAAAGTTTTGTTTTGGTAAAGTTTTGTTAAAGTTTTAAAGCAGTACAAAATAAGTCATGCAGCTCCATTCTGGACTAACTGTAATTTATCCCAGTCTTTACTTGACGCACTCGATCATACCACTGAACATTAATCTAGATAAGAAAGAACCATTGCCTGCACAATTTAAGAGATACAGTACAGTGGTACAGATCTTACACATCTACTAATAAATGATAAACTCTTCCAATAACTTAACATTTTATCGATCTGTTTTGACCACTTTTACCTACTAAAAATAAGAACCCCAAGAAGCCTAATTACATCTACCTGTTCAATAGGCACACTCATCACAGACACATTTAATTTTGGTATATTTTTACTTTTAAGGTTTAATCTAAACACAATTGTAACTCCTCTTCTAAATCAGCAGATAACTTTTCAATCCAAGCTGCTAATAGATATACCTAAAGGGATACTTCAGCAGGGCAGCACGGGGACGCAGTGGGTAGCACAATCACCTCACAGCAAGAGGGTTGCTGGTTCGAGCATCAGCTGGGTCAGTTGGCATTTCTGTGTGGAGTTTGCATGTTCTCCCCTTGTTCGCATGGGTTTCTGCTAGGTGTTACAGTTTTCCCCACAGGTCTAAAATCATGTGGTGTAGGTGAATTGGGTAAGGTAAATTGTCTGTAGTGTATGAGTTTATGTGGATGTTTCACAGTGATGGGTTGCAGCTGGAAGGGCATCTGTTGCATTAAACATATGATGAATGAGTTGGTGGTTCATCCCGCTGTGGCAACCCCAGATTAATAAAGGGACTAAGCCGAAAAGAAAATGACTTGGAATGGATACTTCAGCCAAAACTCAAAGTTCATCTTTTTCTCACTCTTTACTTGCTCCAAATACAAAATCATTTCTTCTGTTGAACACACACGAAAAAAAAAGAAGATATTTTGAGAAATCTGTAAAACTGTAACTATTGACTTCCATAATATTTGTTTTTCCTACTGTGGAAGTCAGTAGTTACAGGATTTTAGCTTTCTTCAAAATATCTTCTTTAGCGTTCAAGAGAATAAAGAAAAATAGTGTATAATCGTTTAAAAACACTTAAGGATGAATAAATAGCGAGTAAATTTTCATTTTGGACTATCCTTTTGAAATATTAAAATTAAAAGATGTCATATATGTTTTGTTATATTTTAATTGATTAAAGCATTTCTGACAAAATGGTATAGATTATAAGCATAAGCAATAGAGCATAAATATTTAAATTGACAATTAATTACTTTAGGGCTGCACTGTGTGGGTGTTTGTGTGTATGAAACTTTGATGGTGAATCTTTTATAGATTTGAATCATGGTCCATAGTCTACTAATATGTAGATTTAAATAAGGTTAATTACTGAATTATTACAATATCTCATCTAGATTTTTGTCACGATCACCAGCAATCCAGGCTTGCAGATCGCTGGTAAACATGCACCATCACCCGGACTGCAATTCTATCACTTTATGAACTACATACTGTATACCATCATGCACAAACTCCAAAAAAAACTGTTTGCAGATCTCTGATTATCACACACACACAGCTGATCAATGACTGATAACATGGTCTATTTAAGGCTGGTTTATACTCTTTGTGCTGTTTGTGTTGCTCTACAATGACATTCCCACACACTTTGCTGTGTCTTGTTTTGCTGTAATATTATGAAGTGTTGTCTTTGTCTAGTCATTCCGTGGTTCTTGACCCTAGCCTTGTTTCCTTGTTTATGTTATTCATTTATGTCGATCTTGTACCGACCTTATTGCCTGTGACTTGACTATTCTGGATTGCCATCGTGCTACTGTTTGTACCTGTTGGTCATTGCCTGTCTGACCATTCTTTGTTAAATAAAGCCGTACTTGGATCCTCACTCCGTTGTCACCCGACTTCCTGGTTACAATTTTATTCCCTTGCAAGTCCTTTATTCCCTTATATCTACTAATCATTGTTGTAGAATGTAGAAAATCTGTAGAATGTAGAAAAATCTGACATTATTCAGAACAAGAAACTAGTGATATGTCGGAAATGCACTTTACAAATATGCATTTCTCTAATTTGGCAACAGTTTTTTTAGGAATATAAGTAACAGTATGTTTAATATTTTTATATGTATTACTGAAAATAATGAAATCAAATTTCCTGTCCAAAATATTATGATTAAATAAGAAATTTATTTTAAAAGGATTCTGTTTGCTCAAATGAGCAAGAAGCAGAACTAAACAAACAAAAAAGCCCATGTAAAAAAAAAACTCATAAAAAATATTGCTTTCATTCAGTTTTATTGGGAAGTGAAATCAATCTCTCCGTGACTTTGAAAGTGCCTGGCTAGTTTTATAGTCTTTCATCACAGACACACAGGTCCCTCCATGTTTCTCTGAGCAGTAAAATAACAAACGCATCATTCTCCAAATGAATTACATCAGCCTTGCTCCTGTTTTAATAAAACTGAGAAATAAACAGCCAAAATCCGGTTACCAGTTTGCAGAACAATAGCATAAAGTGGGTTTAAATGATTTACCTATCATTCCAGTGTAAGCAATAAGACAAGCTGCATAGTTTCCCTGTGTGCAGCCGGTGGCAGACTGCTCGTCTGGCTGGCAGTCGTACTGAAACTGGGCCAAACGGGACCTGTAGAACAAGCACAAGCAGTACATGTGTGGAAAGCAGCCAAGCAGACAGAATGTGTTCTAATAAGTGTGGCGGCCATACTGACATAATCATGGCAAGGTCCAAATCTGCTTCTCAAGATAAAATTTGATGTTACACTGGACATCACATGGCAATAAAACACAGTTCCAAAACGGTTCCTCTCACCAATAAATGGGATTTAACCAACCGTTTAGATTAATAATTAAGTCCCCTTATGCAGAGCTCGAAAATAGTCTTCAGATAGGTAACCATTCAATTCAATGCTTTTTTTTTTACAATAATTATCATTCCAAAGCAGCTTCACAAAAGGCGCACATCATTATATTACAGTCAAAACTAAGTAGCTGCACCGAGTAATATCATTGCGCCTACATTCTTGTTACATTCCTTGATCAATACACTATGAATGACAGTAGACATTTCCTACTGTTAATATATTGACCAAGAAGAAAGCAGCTTAATTTTCTCTTAATAAGGTATTAAAAGTCCTTAATACACAATGTAACTATAGAAATGTCAAGTTTTAAATTGGAAAAACATCAAAACCTTGGTAACACTTTATTTTCGTGGTCCATTTGAGTATTAGTAGACTGTCTGCTTAATATCTGTTGATACTGCTCCTTCAACAGACATTTAACGGACTATAAGAAACTTTGCAAGTACATGTCAACTTACACTAACCTTAACTCTAACCCCAATTCTAACCACATCTTTAGTCTACTTATAATCTAACTTGAATTAGTAGCAATGTAACCTAAATTCAACAAACAGACCAACAAAATAAATTGTGACCAAAAACTTTTTGGGGAGGCATGGGGTTTCCGGGACAAGATGGTCTATCCAGCACTCTCAGAAAAAAAGGTACAAAATTGTACCTTTTAGAGTACAAATGGCCCGTCACTGGGGTGGTACCCTAAAGGGTACAATTTTGTACCTCTGTTTAGAGGTACAAAATTGTACCTTCTACATTTGTACCATTTAAGGGACAATTTTGTACCCCCAAGGAAGGTACGAAAATGTACCTTCTTATATTATATACCATTTTCAGGGTACTGACCCAGGCATTTTGATCCTTTGGTGACTGCATGCACAAATAAATAAATAATTTTGGTTCGCAGATGTCCATTTTTATTTAGAAATGTAATCATATTTTATTACAATTCACAACTGAATGTGTCAAGTAATAAAATTACACAGCAAGTATAAACCAGACATGTAAAACAGTAAAAAGATCAATTTAGATAACAAATAAAAATTGTTCACTCACTGTACAGTAAATCATCTACACTTAATACAAAGACCACAAGAATACTGTTTAAGATTTATAAACACATTACACAGGCTACATCAAGTACTGCACTTTATAAAGTCCAAAGTATTTGTCTTTAGTCAGAATGCGCAGTCATAATAAATAATTTGCCATCAACATTTTCTCTGTATTTCAGAATGAAGGCAATGTTTCTTCTATAAATTGCATCAACAGTGCAGAAAACCAAAAACATTAGTAGCCTCTTCTTCAACATCAGTAGATTCTTCCTCAACTTCCTCAAGAAGAGTTGTAATTTGTTGTAACACAATACGTTTATGCTTTTGGTAAACATGACATGTAAGGCACTCATAACTGGAAAATGTTCTTTGATAGTCATTAGGACCACAAGTTATTTAAAAAATTGCTTTATGCATGAATGAGAGCAGTGTGCTAGATTAACTTGATGATTGTGATTATTATCCAAGAGCATTAAGAGAAACAAAAAACAAGGTTGATCACTCTGGTAACTGGAGTGGGTCGAGGCTTGTCATCGTCCACAGTTCATTCAAAACATTCCACTGCAGAAACATCAAGGTGTTCTTCAAATGAGATGGATAAAAATGTATATTCGTCCACACCATTAACCCGGCCAATCACAATGCCATCAACTCTGAAGACTGCCATGACTCGTCTTGTGGTCCAGTCGGTGGTGTCCTCCTGTACTTGAACTGTTGGATGTGGTGAAGATGATTCACTGTAAATAACAAAGCAATTATTTCATTAATATCATTGATGAAGAGAAAGTCAACATGCATAGAATGTGAAATAATTAATATTCACTGATTTAAAAAAAAGTATAACAGATAAAATGATTAATATAAAGTTCATTCACTCATTAATTTTTTGGCTTAGTCCCTTTATTAATCTGGGGTCGCCACAGTGAAATGAACTGCCCACTTATCCAGCATTTTACGCAAAAGATGCCCTTCCAGCCACAACCCAGTAATACAAACATTCATACACACTCATTCATACACACATTTATACACTACAGAAAAATTAGCTTACCCAATTCACCTATAGCACATGTCTTTGGTCTTGTGGGGAAACCGGAGCACTTGGAAGGAACCCACACGAACACGGGAAGAACAAGCAAACTCCACACAGAAATGCTAACTGACCCAGCCGAGGCTCGAACCAGCGATCTTTTTGCTGTAAGGTGACTACCCGCTTTGCAATCCTAATATAAAGAATATCAAGAATTATAAAATGCATTTATCACAGCATATACTAAACAGAAAACAACTTACGCACCTGAGTACAGCAAAATGTTGAAGTTTCTCGCTGAACAAGGCTGGCAACATGATAAGTGCTGCTGTAAAATCAATTCCTGGAACATAATATGTGGCATACAAACAAATATGAAGGAATCCATACAAAGCTAGAATTTAATAATATTAATCAAGTAGAGAAAATTTAGAAAGAGTACCTTAGAGTCAGGTCCTTAGCATTCTTCAGTTGATCTCTCATCTTTCGATGAATACCTAGAAAATAATTTGAAACATATATATGTGTACATTTATTGTTGTTTGTAAGTAAAAACCTACAAATTTAAAATAGTATGTAAGCCATTAAAACCATGGTATACAGATAATGAGAAATACTTGCATCTTGTACTGAGCCATGCTTTCATATGAAATGCCTTCACTGGTCTGATGCTGTTAGGCTGCATTCTGTTGTTCCAACTGTCCTGAAGGTCAAATGGAAACTTTAAAAACTTCTGGAAAGCAATAAGAGAAAATAATAACTATTTGTTTATTTTTAGATATTTATAAAATAGTTAAAATACTGTAAGGTATTACATTAAATATTACATTAAAGAACGAAGCATTACTTAAAACGTCGATTCATACAACGTGGTACGTTAATAATTATACATTAACATAAGCATTAACATAAGTGAAGCACCAACAATTCTGGACATGAGAGTTTGTGGACACTCCTCAACGTTAATGTAGACACTAAAATGAAGATGTGTACAGGAATACACACACCACGTTTGTAATTAGCCATGGTTACATAATCGCTCGCTTTGCTCACGGGCCGATTCCGGCTCGGATGCGGCAGCCTCGGCTCACTTACTGCTGCCCGATTGAAGCAGTCCGAATAGAGCAGTGAGTCCATAGGCATCCTGTCCGAGTACAGCAAATGGAGCCGGGCCGAGGGGTAAGTCTCCGGCAGGCGAGAAACTAGCCGGAACTGGCCCGAGTGTTTTGCTATCTGGGTTGCGATTATATTCCGCAGTGGCAACACTTATTAATAAAGCAGTAACGTAAGATATGAGGCGCGAATACGTAGGCGATAAAGTGTGTTTTTACACCGAGAAAACTAATAGCATATAGTTAACTTACTCACCTTCAATAACGTTATGTCCCGCGGTGACTTCAATATCATATTGTATTAACTTCTTTAATAAGCTGCAGACCTCTTAGCCAACTCCATCCTGCAGGCAAACGTACACCAAGCAGTCGGAGAATTTTTTCGCGGTCTTTAAGCGGGGGAAAGCCGAGGCACGAGAGTCAGACAAAAGCAGTAGAACATGGCGTCACATGTAAAAATGAAACTGAAAATATGTCATAAATACATATTTACCTGAAAAGTGTGGACTCCAAAATAGACTTTTCTTTGAAAATCGTGCGAAGTTCTGTGTAAACAGCCAGCATGAGCAAACTCGACCGCCTCAGTAACAAACACTGCCAACAAGCCGCATTCTTAAAGAGACAGCAACATCTCCACCTGAATGAAGATACTGTCACTCTGCATGATCCTTATTCTAAATCCCATTTAGGGTCTTAAACAGTAAGTAAAGACCAGTATTTACGTTTTTAATTATTAAAATTACATTCAATTCTACATTAAATTTTAAATATTTTTTGAGAAAAAATAACATTTGAATAAATTAAAAAAATAATTATTAAAGTATTTTATTCAATCAATTTATTAATTTTATATTTTTAAATTATGTATTTTAGTATTAATGTTTAGTATTAATTAATTAAAAATTAGTGTTATATGGTGTCTTGATCTTATAAGCTGAGGGTACAATTTTGTTCCTATAGGGAAACAAAATATATAATTGTACCTTTAAAGGTGCCAAAATGGTCCTTTACAGTACAATTATGTACCCAAATGTGCTATAAAAGGTACAAAAGTGTACCTTTCAAACCTAAATCTGGACGTTTGTACCTTTTTGGCCCATTTGAGTACAAAATTGTGCCCTAAGGACCAATTTGGGACCTTTAAAGGCACAATTATATATTTTGTTCCCTCTAGGAGCAAAATTGTACCCTCATTGTACCTTTTTTTCTGAGAGTGAGGGGTCTCAAACTGCTGCCTGCAGGCCATTTGTGACTACCCTCCTCCTCCCTCTGGCCCGCAACTGACGTTTAAATTATAACAAGATTCGGCAAAACATATGTTTTTGAATCGCTTCCATTGTTGTGCAGTCACATATAGCCACTTGTGGTTTTGACCCCCCACATAATGGACATTTAAACTACTGTACTATATGTTCAAGGAACTTTGGTTTCTCTCAGCGTGCAGTCAAGGATAACACACTTGCAGATTATTTCTGGGGCTGATTAAAAAATACATTGAAATATATGCCCTTAAGTGCTCTATTTTTACAAAATCTCTATTTTTGTAAACATTCAAGGGTCATTTGATTATAATCAGTTTTATACCGCCTGTATTTTGTACTCCTCTTCATGGCTTACATATTATGCTGGTGGTTAAAATATGATCATTTTGCTAATATTCGATTCAAATGGTCTTATTAATAGATCATTATATGCATATTAAGATTTGTATAAAAATGTGCCTTAGTAAAATTTGACTGCTGGCTGAATTGAACATGTTAAAGTAATGTCAATATTTTCCCCCTCTTTGTTATAGTTTTACAATAAAGATTGCTGTAAAGAAGAACAATTGCCAGTAAAGTCAAAAAAGTTAACTTACCTCATTTTGTCAGTCTCATGCTATCTGTTAAGCAATACTTGAGTAAAAAAAAATAATAATAATAATAATAATAATAATAATTATTATTATTAGTATTATTATTATTATTATTATTATTATTATTATTATTATTATTATTATTATTATTATTATTATTATTATTATGCCTATTATTCAATTGTAGTATTTTCATAGCAATTTAAACTATTCCTTCAATACATACAACAAGAAACAAAAAGGAGCTTTGATACTCTAGGGAAGAATGTCTGAGAGCATCAATTACATCAGGTTTCCACGTTTTTCTTTAGCTTGAGTATTAAAACGGCCCTCCTATGAATAGTCAGTCACTGATATGGCCTCATGCCAATTTGAGTTTGAGACCCCTGGTCTAATCTAATTTAATTATTTATGCTGAGCTAACTTCCATCAGAGATCGGCCAAATGGATTTTTAAAAAATGGTAAAACTCAACAGTTTAACTCTAGGTGACCAAAAAAATGAGTGTATTTTCTTTAAAAAGTGGAATATTCCTCTAACATTGGTTTTCTCTGTTGTCCATGGCTGTTCCACAAAAATAAAACCTGTGATCAACCAGTTGGTTTAAATGCCAAAATCATGACAACGTCTTTAATAAACAGTCCTCATAATCACAGCGTGCTGCTTTTCTTGCTGTTATTCACTAAGGCATCTGAGTCATTTAATCACTCGTTAAGAGTGAGGAAAAAATGTTACCTCACAACCAATAAATTTTTTTCATACCAGAACTGATTAGCTCCCATCGTTAATACCAATTAATCATCAACAGATGGATTTATCTTTGTTATTTATAGCGACAGACTGAATGCATGTGTCACTGCCGTATGCTAGAATAATATTAGTCTTAGATATTAGTCTTGATGAAGGACCATCTAACCTGCACTGCTCAATACTGAATTCACAATCATGTGATTTATCTGAAAACATCTGACTTCTAAAACATTTCAGGGTCTCATAACTCTGTCCAATGACCATTTATTCAAACATGGATTACAAGGATGGCGAAGAACAGCTTTTTTTCTTATCACCAGTAATATGCGAGTGTTTCTTTCTCTAGACAGCTATAGAAAAGCTGAGGCTTTATTTACTCTGAAAAAAGAAGTGCATGCAAGGTGAGTTGTTTAATCCTGCCGCCCACATGGTATGTGGCTGTCAAAGCCTCTGAAACTGACCTGCAAACATAGTCGGCCTTACAGATCCTCATCTGCGAGAGGCAGCTGGGTTTATCTTCTCCCTCATAGGAGCAGCTGGGCACGATGGTCTGTCGTCGTCTCTCCGAACAGGCCATGTCGCTGCAAGGGCAGAAAAGCAGCTCGTGGGTGTACTCTGCAGGGACTCTGTCAAAGAATCGCCGCAAGGCCTTGTTGCACCTTGATCGGTTACACAAACCCGATTTGGTGGAGGGCTTGATGCATGTTGACACATACTCGGTGCGCAGTCTCTGGCAAACGTCATCAATGTTGCAAGCTTTGGCCGCATCCAGGCAACGGTTCACTGTGCTCATCCCGATTTCAGAATCTGTGGAGAATTCAAACGTTGCAGTCGTTAGGACTGACTGAAGTGATTAAAAGTATATATACTGGCAGCTCATGGCCAGAACGGGCTATATTATGAGTTTTTGCACCAGATAGTTATAGGAACTACTGTAGCAACCAGGGCATTCTCCACAGAACTTAATTTCCCCCTCAGCCTATTTTCGGTGTTGCATTCACTCCATCACTAGGATCTCTGAAGTTACATGAGAAGTGAAGTGACGACAAATTCGATTAAGACATTTTATAAAATAGATAGCTGGAGGAGAGAAGACATTAAAAAGACGTGATTTCATTTTGCATCATAGATTTTACTGGAGATGTATATATTACGCAATTGAAAGAGCAAAAGGAGGGGGAAGAAATTAAATCACCTAAAGAGAATTGTTTTGTTACACATCACTGAGGTTGAGAAAAGAAAACAACACAGAAAACGGCAGCATTAGCCACTTACATTAGCTTTATGTATGTTTATGACTAGCAACACTAAATTATAGTGCCAATGTTTTGTATGGAAGGCTACATATAAATTGCGGGTGCACAATTTCTTTGCATCGAGATCACAATGTGTGCATCCACAACAGTCACGTTGCAGGATGTGAATTGTTGAGTCTGGACTATTGTTGACCGCAATATGCAGGATTGTAGCATCACTGCAGGGAGGAACAATAATAGAGTGAAAGTTTATCAGTTGTGTGTATGTGTTTTTAATGCATGTGACTGTGTGAGCGTTTCAAGATAGTTTAAAGCATTTAAGCACAAAACAAATGTACAGATACAGTTGTGACTTTTAAAAAGATTCACTGTATTTAATTATTAATGCAGTTAAGACTATGCAGTGTTATTTTACATCTTGTTATTTGGGTACAGAACTTGAACAATCGGAACTCCCCAGAAACCATAAACGACTGTTTGTTTCACATTTACCTTTGCTCAACTGTATTTATCTGTGATTGTAATATATTGTTTGTTTGATTTATGCATGATTCACTCTCCTACAGAATCATTCCAATCAGATTAAATTAATTACGTATTTCCAAATAAAGCAAATTCAAGCCATCTGGTGAAACTGTTCATTTCATTAGTGGTTTAGTTAGTTTTAGTTTATTTTTCTTTTGTAAAAAAATATTGGTTTTGTGTTTGTATGCATGTAGCCATCAGCCATTCCTTAAAACATACCTAACCAGCATATGCTGTCCTTTTCAGCAGGATATGAGAATGTTTCCTCTATGAAAAGTTTCCTCTGGTGCAAAAGCCCTTGTTGTTGAACAGACTTTTTATGCTGTCAAAGATTTAAAGTCAAATTCAATGTCAATGTTGCAGTCAAGATCTCAGCAGGTTGAGTTTGAGTAAAGACCTAACAGAAGACTATCTGTGACCCTTCAGTTTTATCAGATTAGTTTGTTAATTTTGGGGGTTCTATGAATCATGGATACAAACTAGTTTAAATTGATGGTTTTATCATTTTATGGACAAGACGATTTGCTATCAAGAGCTCAAAAGTTTAAATTTAAACAAACCCATATAAAATATGACAATTTATGCAAATTACAGCTGTAGTTAAAACTATTAGCCCACCTGTGATTTTTTTCTCAAATATTTCCCAAATTATTTTTAACAAAGCAAAGAATTTTTCACTGTAATTCACTAAGTCTTTTTACTATTTTCACTATTAATAATAAAATAAAAATACCAATATTTTTTTCCAATTGTCTACAGAATAAACCATTGTTATACAATGACTTGACTTACAGTAATATTACCCTAACTTGCCTATTTAACCTAGTTAACCTAGTTAAAGGTAGAGTAGGTGATCTGCCAAAATGCTAACCGGTTAGCATAACATCTTTGAAACAAAGTCCTTCCCCTGCCATCCAAAGCCACATCTCCTGAAACATGAAGGCGCGCACCTTGAAGATGACAGTAGACAACCCACTAGTTCATGTCATTTGCCAGTTAGAAAACTTTATAGCACTTCATAATACTAAAATTCCATTTGAAAAACTATAGTATATGAAGCACTTTTTTGTGTAGCAATCAAAACTTGTCATGATTTGCAATATTTCATGCATGCAGGAATCGCTGGTCTCATGCTCTCACTTGCTTTGTCCTAAAGCGACTACTGTATGCTTAGTGGTTGCCGGCGGGGTTCAGGAATTACATTTACTACTAGCATGCTATTGCAGACCAAATATTTAGAGTAGCATGGTAAACAATACAAGGAGCCCGTCAAAGGTTGTTCCACACTGTTCCAAAATGAACCAATGCGTATGTAAAACCAAATTCACCTAAGTAAAGCAAGCCAGGCGGAATAGCGCTATTGACTTATGTTTCGTTGTTAAACTTTATGAAAACCTTATGAACCTTATGAAACTGAAAATAGTCACATCAATGTAGCGCCGGAAGATTTCAGTGGCTAAACAACACTTCTGTGCATATAACCCATTCGTAAAACAACAAAATCTACATCAGGTTTGCATGACTAGAGGCCTATCTAACAGACATACTTCAACCATGGTGTCATCCTTCCTCCAGTGTGCAAAAGTAACTCCAATATTGATTCGGGATTTTAAAAAGTTTTGATTTAGCATTCGTTTTTACCACTGTCACTCTCTCATGTGCACATGGACGTGCAAAATGGCAGATCTGCATGAACAGAGGTTCGCAGTTGTACGAATCTACATTTGTTGACAGACAATTTACTTATCAGAATTATGTGAATAATCAGCCCGACAATATTTAATTAAATGAACATTTTTAGTCTCACACCTTACTCAGAATATAAAAATACATATAAACACTTTTAGATCATTTACTTTAAACATTACTAATAATTCTGACTAACTAACAAGTCTAATATTTCTAAGTTCAACTGTATGTTGGCTTAGTATCGGCAAAACACATACAAAATGAGAAACAGCACATTTCTCAAGCTCTTGATCAAACTGACATTTTGATTCTTGAGGCGGATCAGACAGCATAAGCATAACCATGCAGCACAACTGTGTAGAATGGGCGAAGATGAGCGGCCCTTTTCAATTCACAAGGTGTGTTGTGTTTTGCGACTGACAGCGGAGAGGAGAAAATGGTGAAAGCATCAAAAAAGATGAGAAACTTTGTATTTAAATGGGAGTTGAAGAATATGGGCTGACAGCCAATTTTTGTGAGGCATTTTGCTGGTCAGACTACAAACAACTAAAAGGATTTGAGTTGGATGCATCAAAACATCTGACTTCAATGGTTCTTTACAATCCCTTATGTTCTTTTTTTCAAGGCCAATTTTGGATGGATCAGTTTCTTTTTTTGATGCTATATGGAGTGGAGGAGGGTCCCAGAAAATACGATGCATATTCCTAATGTAGCATAAAACAACACTGAAGAATTTAAAATGCTGAGGAGTAAGCTCATTGTGCTGTCTGCGCAAACATAGAGTTTCATGAGAGAACTTTGCATTACAGACTTTTTTAAATTGGTTTGGTAATATTTTCATAAGCAAAAATGTACAAATTCCAATCCCCTAGTACAAAACTTTAAACACTTGTAGCACTACTAGTCATTTTTCAAATTGATGTCATTATTTCATTGTAGTTGCACACATTTTAATTCCACATAATTGTTGTTTCACAACACTAAGAACAGTTTACTAAGAGTTTAAAAATGTACCGATTGCTTGTAAAAATTTGTACCAAACCAGGCTGCAATACTACAGTTTTTTTAAGGCCCTACC